CACAGGGGGGCATGCCTTGCATGTGGCCAGCCCCAATTCAATCCCTGGCATCCCACATTGTCCCCTGAGCCCTGCCAAGAGCGATCACTGAGCTCAAAATCAGGAGTCAAGCCCCGAGCACTAACAGGTGGGGCCCAAAAACCAAAAATTAAAATATTTAAAACAGCCAGATAATCTGAAAATGGGCTGGAGCGATAGCACAGCGGTAGGGCATTTGCCTTGCACGCAGCCAACATGGCCTACCCGAGTTCGATTCCTCTGCCCCTCTCGGAGAGCCCGGCAAGCTACCGAGAGTATCTCGCCCGCACGGCAGAGCCTGGCAAGCTACCCGTGGTGTATTCGATATGCCAAACACAGTAACAACAAAGTCTCCAATGGAAACATTACTGGGCCCACTCGAGAAAATCGAAGAACAACGGGAGGGCCTTTACCTTTTTACCAATCTGAAAATAAATCCTAAAAAATGGGGAAGGCATGTCCACACCAAAAGAACTCTTGTCTTATAAGGATGAGCGCCTTACGTTCAGTTCCCAGCATGAATAATAGTAACAACAGACACCTCACCAGAGAGCCAGGACAACGCAAAAACAGCACACGAGAACATGCTCAACCTTGTCAGCTAATAGTTAAATGCAAAGCAAAACCACAGTCGTACTACAAATTTTCCAGAATGGTGAAAATTAAAATGCCAACAACATCAGCTGGTGATAGCACAGAGCAGTTGCTCGTGTATTTTTGATGGAAAATCAAACTAATGTCATAAGCCAAAAACAGTTTGCAGTTTCTTATAAAGGTAAACATACACCTAGCAACTCCATGAATACTAGTATATTTACGTTAAATACAGATTATGTTCATCTGGTGGCGGGTGTGTTGCTGGAAGGTTGGATGCAGGAAGCCTTTTATTAACAGCATTGAAAATCAGAAATCCTAAAACTTAAAAGTTGAAAAAAAAATTGTGAACCAATCGTAAACTAATAAAATATGACTCTCCTCCCGCTGTTCATCGATTTGCTCGAGCAGGCCCAGTAACGTCTCCATTTTTTTGAGACTTGTTGTTACTGTGTTTGGCATATCCAATACATCACGGGTAGCTTGCCAGGCTTTGCCGTGCGGGCAAGATACTCTCGGTAGCTTGCCAGGCTCTCCGAGAGGGGCGGAGGAATCGAACCCGGCTCGGCCAGGCTGGCTGCGTGCAAGGCAAACGCCCTACCACTGTGCTATCGCTCCAGCCAGCCCAATAAAATATGAATTAAAAAAAATAGTAATGGAATTTTAGACTCACAAATGAATCTCAGAAGAGAGCAGCACACTGCAGAGATGTCTCCCCACCCCACCCCAGGCTGATTTCACTGGGGCACCTCAGAGGGAGGCAAGTGTGTCCTTCAGCCTGCTGCAAATGAACCATGGAGCTACAAACCTCCAGAACCCAGTCGCCACCATGCTCACAGCCAACCTTCACAGGCTCATCCTGAGCTCCCCCACACGTGAGAAGGAGTCCACTGAAAAACCAAGGTATGTGGGACCAGTGACTGAAAACTCCAGGCTTCAGGGAGTCTGGGATGGGCGACCTCCTTCCATCTGTCCACCCTTCCGGTTTTCTGGCAGTCGCTCCCAAGAACTGCCTCTGGGCACCATTTAAGCACATTAACGATCATAACTCAGAGACTCACAAATGAATCTCAGAAGAGAGCTCATGCTGCAGAGATGCCCATGGACCCCAAATATTTAAAATTTTAGAATTCCAGGGGTGTGTGGCCACAGCATCTCATATTATTCATAACAAGCAATACAAAATAAATTATTTAGCATCTGCCTGTGGGGCAGGCTTGGGTGGGGGTGGGAAAATTTGAAATAATGGGAGAGTGTAATGGTGGGATTGGTGCTGAAATATTGGGTACAATCAACTATTGTAAACAACGTCATGAAAATAAAATTCAAAAAAATTTTAAAAAACAATTTTAAAAAATGATGTTCACATAAAAACCTAGCCAACAAACGTTTATTACAGCTCTCCTCAGAATTTGCTTAAAACTGGAAACAATTCAAACGTCCTCCAACAAGTAGACAAAGGTAAAAATACAATGCAGCCTAACAGTAGAATTCTACTCAGCAACAAGGAAGGGGCCCATAACTGACAGACACAATTTGGAGCATCACAAAGAGCACCGTGCAGGATTAAAAGGCCATTTTCCAAAGGTCACGTGCAATCACATTTACAGGGTGAGGCAAGTAAGACATCGCTACACAGAGATGGAATGAGAGTTTCATGCCGCAGAACTATTTTTTGTATCCCGGTTTTGTAGGTGTTTACACAAATCTAATCATATTAAAAAACTCAAAGAAATGCATACCCCAAATTTTACTGTGCTATATATAAAAACTCCAGTAGGCGGGGGTCACACCCACCAACTGGCCCCCTGGTGCCGTGTAATCCCATCAACGGCCAAGACCCAGAGACTATAAAAACCAGCTCCCAGAAGAGAACAGTGCAGTCTCCTGCCCCCGCGCCTGGCTGTCCTCTCCGGGGCCCCTTGGAGGGGAGCGGGTTGAGCTTTCCTCCCCTCCCCGACCAGGGCTGCGGCAGCTGAAGACCTCCAGGACCAGCCACCACCATGCTGAGACCACCCTCCGCACACATGAAGGTACTGGCAGAGGGACAAAGTCACGCGGGTTCCGGGGCCGAGTTCTCCAAGCCTACTCGGATTGGGGCCAGGCATCCTCCACCCAGATCCTCCAAACTCCAGTAGGCGGGGGTCACACCCACCAACTGGCCCCCTGGCACTGTGTAATCCCATTAATGGCCAAGACCCAGAGACTATAAAAACCAGCTCCTGGAACCGCGCGGCCGCATTTGCGGCCGCAAGACATCTTATCATAACATCTTATTATCTCATTCCTACTTTGGACAAACTGGCAGGCTACCGAATGTAGCCTGCCCACACGGCAGAGTCTGGCAAACTCCCCGTGGCGTACCCAATATGCCAAATACCAGTAACAATGATGGGTCTCATTCTCCTAAAGAGCCTTGAATATAATCTCAGGGCTAGGATGAAGGAGACGTTACTGGGGCCTGCTCGAGGCAATCGACGATTAACAGGATGATTTGTGTGATTTGTGATTTGTGATATAATTAAGAGAAGGGGCCAGAGAGCTAGTAGGGCGCTTGTCTTGCATGACACTAAAGCCAGGAATAGCCCCTGAGCATTGCTGAGTATGGCCCCCAAACCCAATCAATAAGCATTGAAAAATGAAATCAGATTATGATGTTATTTCAGCCCTTTCTTCTACAATTTCCTTTCTGGTTTAAAAAAAAAGATTTAAGTTTTGTTCAATACAAACAATACTTATGATAAAACACTAAAATTCAAAGACAGTGAGATAAAATTACATACAAGTCAAATTTTTTACAAATGTGTGTACACACTTATCTACAATGTAAAAACGAAATATGTCACGATATTATCTCTCAGCGGTGAGATTAGGAGTGATATTTTATTAATCCTTTCTAGATTTTCTACAGCATATATTATTTTCATATTCTTTTAAACAATAATTCCTTTAGTCACCTATAATCATATCCAACAGGAGCTTTTGGGGGTTTCTCTGGCTTTGTTTTGGGTTTTTTCTGGTTCTGTTTTTGGGTTTTCTGGTTTAGTTTTGGGCTACACCCAAGTAAGCAGTGCTCCGTCCTCAGGCATCACTCCTGGCAGTGCTCAGGGGACCATATGGTACCAGGGATCAAACCCAGGCCGGCTGTGTGCAAGGCAAGTGCCCAACCCACCGTACTACCACCCAGCCCTCTCCGAGGGGAGTTCTAAGTCTCCTTCCTAGGGCCCAGCTCTGTGCAGCAAGCTCTGCCCGGTAACAGAAGGCACAAGGCTGCCGGGGCCTTGAGTGTGACCTGAGCACCACCCCACAGACCACACGGGCCAGTCACTGCATTATCTGGGACCCTGGCACCGCCAGGTTCTCAAGGGTGTTATCTCAGATGCACCGCAACCAAGTCTGTGTAACCTCCAGTCACAGCGGAAACATTGCAAAAAGAAAGGAAAAGGGAGAAAAATAAAAATAAATTTGTTTTAATTTAGTTATCTGCTTTCACCTGGCCTCAAGCATTTCACTGTTATGTAACTGTGACAAGTAAGTATGAAGGTTTCTCTTTAAGTTACTAAGCCCAAATTAGTCCAGAGTGCTCAGAGGCAGATCTATCAATGATCACAGCTCATCAGAACTGTGTCTTGGGGCCAGAGCAATCGTATAGCAATAGCACATTTGCCTTGCACACAGCCAACCCAGGTTCGATTACTGATACCTCAGATGGTCCTCTGAGCCTACCTGGAGTGTGTCCTGAGTGCAGAGCCAGGACTAAGCCCTGAGCACTGCTGGGTGCGGCACAAAACCCAAAACAATACAGAAAAAGAACTGTGTCCCATAGGTGTGGAGCAGTGTGTCTATCTGGGTGGTCCCTTTAAGGGATCTGGAAATTAAAGAATATTTCTATTGTTTATAAAGCCCAAATGTTGATAAGGTTATTATTGTTGTGGTGGTGTTCTTTTTCCAGTTCCAAATGGAAAGAAGCCATCAGCAATGATTACTTTTCTTTGGCTTATTTCTAATACTTTTGTGGGGGAGGGATAAGGGGAGAGGGCGGGGGTGATTGGGGGGAAATACTGGTTCACACCCAGCGATGCTCAGGGCTTACTCCTGGTTCTGAACTAAGATATCACTCAGGGGTCACTCCTGGCTCTGCACTCAGGAATCACTTCTCAGTACACAGGGGACCACATGGGAAGGTCATGGGGAAGGCCAGCTTGTACTATCCCTCCAGTCACCATTTCTCCTACTTTAACCATAAGCCATCTCTGCACTCTACCTTGTGTGTGTGTGTGTGTGTGTGTGTGTATGTGCAAGACATGAATCCAGGGTCCACACTCCACATGGGTTCCCACACTCCCAGCCAACCCTCTTCTGACTGCTCTGTCAACTGTGCAGCTTACCGTGGAGCATTTCTCTAGCACTTCCTCCTGGAATTTCAGGAATCGTTCCTGAACCTCAACTTCATTGAGGAAAAAGGACAGGAAATGAGTAGAGGGCTGCTTTCTCCGAAAGGTGAGCAAAAGAACATCAATTCGTGTCCGTGCAGAAATTACACCACTGCGATGCTGGCCAGTGATCACTGTAAACGGAAAGTGGAGGGAGGGATGGTCAACATGAAGAACATGAATACTCGGGGAGCCAGACATCTCGGGAACAAGCTACAACCGTCCTGAGGTGCAGCCAATTTTACCGGGGGATAGTACCAAAAGAAGCTGAGTAAAGGGTCTAAGAGAAGTTCGGGGGCTAAGGCGCCTATCTTGCATCCCATCAACACTGGTTTGAACCCCCAGTACCTCATATGGTCCCCCGATCACTCAGGAGTGACCCCTGGGCACAGAGGTAGGACTAAGCCCTGAGCACCATCAGTTGTGCCCAAAACCTGAAAAGAGCAAATAAAAGGAAAAGGAAGGAAGGGAGGAAGAAGCGGAACAGTCCTGCTTTTTTTGGGGGGGAGTCACACCCAGCAATGCTCAGGGACCACTCCTGGCTCTGCACTCGGGAATTACTCCTGGTGGTGCTCAGGGGACCATATGGGATGCCGGGGATTGAACCCGGGTTGGCCAAACACCCTACCCACTGTGCTATCACTACAGCCCGATACTCCTGCTTTTATCATCTGTAAAACTTTGGTACAAAATAATAAATCTGTTCTATTTTATGAAGAAGACAGTTTAATAGGGAATAAAGACCAATAGTTATATTCTCATTTTTGTGAAGAGAAACTTTCTGAAAAGTAAACTTGAAAGGTGCTCATATAGAAATGATTCAGAGCTGACCAGACAATGATCAAAAGACAAGTATAATGAGTGAGACAAAGCCTGCAATTCTCTGAGAGGACAAGGATTACCTGCCAGGACCTTAAGGGTACGTGGAAGAAAATCATTGAAAGACTGATAAAACTGGAAAGACCCAACTCCCTAAACACAATGAGAACATCAGTCTAAAGTTCCTTCTCTATCCCACTGCCTGAGACATCAATTAACCAAAGAGAGACCTTGGTCTGGGCTGTGGGGCGTCACTTCTGAAACTTTAGTAAGCGAACACGGGGGTCAAGAAAACACTGGCAACAGTGAAAGGTTTCTAGAGACTCGAGAGATGGAACAAGCAGGCAGAGCTGCCACACGAAGTCTGAGCTTCCGCACTCCAGGTGGTCCCCGAGCTCCACCAAGAGTGATCCCTGAGCACAGAGCCAGGAGGAAGCCTGAGCACCGCTGGGCATGTCCCCAAACCAAACAATCAATGAAACTTAATTCAAAATCAAACGTGCGAGGAATCTGAGGGGCTCCTGGTTGTGCTTGTCCAAGCTGCATTTCTAATGAGAAAAGGGGTGACAAATGGGAAAAGTTTAAAGAACCTTGCTCGAGAGAACAAATTAAAATCTATCTACTCATTTCCTTCTCCAGTGTCTCTCATTTAGGAGGCAAAAGAAAATGAGTTAATGGCAGTAAATACCATACAAATACAACCGCGGTCTTGATTTTTACATCTCAACTCAATTTACCTGACCAATAAATTTGATTTTCTTTATATCTTACTTCCTTACAAGATCAATAAGACAGTTTATTCTCTTGTTTGCAGTTAAATTGGTTTTGCTAAATTCTTACTTTTAATGATTACACATCCTCGTTTTTCACACTGAAGTACTATGTTAGGTGAAAATGGAATCTTTACCACACAACAACTCTTTTTCTGGGGAAGTTCTGGCATGTCTAGTATCTGAAAATGGCAAAGGTTGCCATATGCCCCATATATCATGCTAAATGTTTTGGTCCAAAAGAAGTCATTATACTTAACTTTTGGTCTAAAAGAAGTCATTATACAGAACTTTAGGGAAAATGGGCAACATATTAACTATAATGACTCCACTGAGCCAGAGAAATAATACAGACATAAAGTCACTTGACTGGCATATGGTCCTCCACGAGCCCCCAGGAGAGATCCCTGAACATCGAGCCAAGAGTAGATCTGAAAACCTCTTGGTGCTATTGGGCCCAAAATCCAAAAATAGTAATAATAATGATTACATCTTGGGCTCATATTATAAGAGATTACTTTGTATAACCTTATATATAATGTCTTCAAGTTCTGTTTTTGAAAGCATCCATTAACCTTATAATCAGAAGAAGCTAGACAAAGAAATGTTTTAATGAAATTATAAAATTATTCAATATTTATAACTTGAACTTTAAAAGCTTAAAAGAAGATCAAGTTCTTATATTTGTAATTCTAATAAATATTTAATAAAAGTCCTTCAAAAATGTCATTAGGGCTAGAGGGGTGAAGTAAGGCCCTTGCCTTGCTTGCAGCCGACCCTCCAGTCTGGCTTCCGACACCACTCGACTGCCCAAGCAGCTCTGAGAGTGACCGCAGGCACCAAGCTCGGAGAAGCCCCTGCAATCTGTGGGTATGACTAGACCCCCACCCATGAAGGAGAAGGTCACCTAAGCGCTACCATAAAAATTTACTGAAGTTACCAAGGGGCTCAAGAAACATCCAGTGCTGCTCTAATACAGAAGCCAGCTAGTTAAATACATTTTTATTTTTCACTTTTTGGGCAACACCCGATGGTGCTCTAGGCTGACTCCTAGCTCTGTGCTCAGGGATCAGTCCTGGTGGGGCTCCTATGTGGTGCCGGGGATCGAAGCCAAATCAGTCACGTGCAAGGCAAGCACCCGACATGCTGTACTACTGCTCCAGCCCTAGTTAAATAAATATAAAAGAACAGAATGAAATTAAAAACTCAGTTTCACAGGACCCAGAAACATGAGTCAAAGGCAGAGCACCTGTGGCCCAAACCCCATGCCTGCATGGCCCACCCGCTGGGTGCAATCCCCAAAGCTACACAGTGTGGCCCCCAATACCACAGCTACGAGATGCCAGGTTCCTCGGGCATATCGACCGTATCCCAAGATGTGGATGGCAAAGACAGACCATTCACATCACAGACAGAACGTTCCAGAGCACTGCTCTAGAGCCAGTGACTACCTGTCACAATGATTATTCTTCGATTTTTCTAATTGTTAGGGGGACCGGAGGGATAATCTCATCAGTGCCTAGAGGTCATCAGGGCCACTCCGAGTGGTGCTACACTGGACGGGGGAATGTGGTTGCGGGAATTAACCCAGGGCTATGCTCATCACAACAAGAGTTTCACGCACACACACACACACACAAAGACACACACACACAATGCACAAGACACATACACATACACACAACTCAACTGGTGAATCTTACATAACAAAAATGAAAAGAGGACTAGCTAAAACTTGGCACTTGGCACAACCACAATCGATGTGGGTTGTGAAAAACAGATTCCTGGAGGCCACTGTGCTTCACTCACTTTGAAAACACCCTGTGGTTTTAGATTTGTGAACTCTCTCCACAGTGCTCTTCTCTCAGACCTACTTAACCTCACACACACAGGTGCCCCTCCATACCATCAGGGCTGGGACAGACACATTCCAACTTGATTTCTCTTTCTAACCAGCTCACTACCTGAGAAATAGTCAAATCGGGTCGATACTTTAATCATTAACTCTTCATTTCCTCTGCATTCCACAACAGAATATTGCATTCCAAACACTGGAGAAAAAGCTTAATGGAAAGGGCTGGATTTTACTGCCAACTCACTGATAGCTTTGGTTTTTTCCCATATTGAACTTAAGGTGATTCACAAACTCCATTCAAGCTATCAAAGCATTAAAGAAATTTCCTAATATGCAACAAAATCTGGAAACATGATTCCACTCGGGTATGAAAAGTATGAAATGAAGGTTCAAGAACTCAATCAGGACAAGTTTGAATATATACATATTTTCTGGGATGAGGATGTAGCTCAGTAGCAGAATGCTTGCCTTTCATGTGTAAGGCCCTGGGTTCGATCCCCACAGTGCCAAAAAAAAAAAAAAAAACCAGTCTAGGGAGAGAGTTCAAGAAACAAAGCTCACATTTTGCAAGCAGGAGTCCCAGATTTGAATAGCCTATAAACTAGGAGTAATCCTGGAGCCCAGAGTAAACCCCGAGCATCACCAGGTGTGGCCAACTAACTACATAAATAAAAATCTACTCATTTGGGAAACTAATGTATCAGAAAAAGTCCAACAGTGGGGGGGCCAGAGTAATAGTACAATGGGTAGGGTGTTTGTCTTGCACACGGCCAGTCCAGGTTCAATCCCCAGCATCCCATATGGTCCACCAAGCACCGCCAGGAGTAATTCCTGAGTGCAGAGCCAGGAGTAACCCCTGAGCATTGCTGGGTGTGATTAAAAAAAAAAAAAGTCCCACAGTGGGACTGGAGAGAGAATACAGCAGGTAAGATGTTCACTTTGCATGCAGTGGACCTGGGTTCAATCCCCCAACACTACGTGTGGTCCCCAGGGCCCCTCCAGGAGTGATACCTGAGCACAAAGCCAGGAGTAAGCTCTGCTGCATGTGACCCCAAACCAAACTAAACCAAGTCCAATAGCTACAAAACCCTGTAGAATCACTAATAAAGTTACTAAAGAGCTCAGCTGGGTTATATTACTCCACAAAGTTGTAAAAGCAAATATAAATTTGTATACTGAGTCTCACCAATCTCTCCTTCTTGTCCAGGCTTAGGAATGCTAATTGAAGTTTTAGTCTCCATTTCTAGTTTCTTCCGTGTGTCCCCTCTCTTTCCAACTATATGCCTAAAATAAAAAAAAAATTAGTATAAGGGGGTTTAAGTAAAAATATATGAAAAATAAAGAGTTCCATCATTTTGAGATAATAAGTTGCCAACGGCAATAGAAACAAAGGACACGAGCACTGGTTCTCAGTGGGACACTTGGCACCGGGGGTGGGGGGACAGGACAGGGAAGGGAACACTAAAGTGATATGCAGGACACCTGATCAGTAACGGTATTGTAAACCCAGCAGAAAGGAAATTGGTATTGTAAAGCCCAGCAGAAAGGAAAAAAGAGGTGCCAGTTACAAACGCAGGCAGGGGCTGAAGGGAAACTGAGGACATAGGTGGAGGGTAGTGGACACTGGTGTGGAAACACTATAGGCCTGCAAGTCAAGTAAAGGTAAGGTAAGGTAAAGACCCTCCCGTTGTTCATCGATTTGCTCGAGCAGGCCCAGTAACGTCTCCATTGGAGACTTTGTTGTTACTGTGTTTGGCATATCGAATATGTCACAGGGAGCTTGCCAGGCTCTGCCGTGCGGGCGAGATACTCTCAGTAGCTTGCCGGGCTCTCCGAGAGGGGCAGAGGAATCGAACTCGGGTCGCCCATGTTGGCTGCGTGCAAGGCAAACGCCCTACTGCTGTAAAAAAAAAAAAAATCGAAATTCTTTCTTCAGAAAAGACTTCCAGGGCCAGAGCAATAATGCAGTAGGGAGAGTGTTTACCTACAGTCTCCCAAGCCCCACCAAAAGTGATCCCTAAGCACAGAGCCAGGAGGAAGCCCTGAGCACTCCTGGGTGTGGCCCAAAAACAAACAAATGAAAGAATTTCATCTCGTTCCCATCGTATGTGGCAGGAGTCAGGGGTGGCTCAGCTGGCAAAAGCACCTGCCAGACAAGCTGGGTCATTCTGAGGCCACACCCAGGTGCTGGGGGCGACTCCCGGCCTGGAGCTGGCCATGGCCCCTGCAGTGCTGGGGATCGAAACAGCACCAGGGCATAAACCCACGGCTGCTGTGTGCAAAGCGCATGCTCTAGTACAAGGCCCCTGCCGTGAGGCCTGAGTTCGATGCCTGGTGCTACCCACATGCACCAAACACGGTCCCAGGAGTTTCGCTTTTGCGGGATCTGGGCATCACAATGGAATATGCGATCCCTGGCACACCGCAGCCAAGTATCTGCAAGCACCACAATTAAAGATGGGGCTGGAGTGATAGCACAGCGGGAAGGGCGTTTACCTTGCCCGCAGCCAACATGGACGACACAGGTTCGATTCCCAGCATCCCATATGGTCCCCCGAGCACCGCCAAGAGCAATTCCTGAGTGCATGAGCCAGGAGTAACCCCTGAGCATCGCCGGGTGTGACCCAAAAAGCAAAAAAAAAAAAAAAAAGATGGTCAAGCAAAGCAGCCAAGTGTGCAAGCCCTGGTATGCACACATGTGAGCACAACTAAAGGAGTGTGACCCAGCCAGCATGATGGGTCCAAGCGCCCCCGGGAGCACCTTGATCAACTGTGCAAGCACAATAAAGTGGGTGTGAACCCCATCATCACACCAACAGTAACAAAAAGAAGGGGGGGGGGGAAGAAATCACATACAGCCAAACTTGTTCCCTTAAAGAAAAGCCTTTAACACAAACTGGAGAGCTACAGTGGAAATTACAAGCTACACAGCTTTACTTAATACACTGCATCACACTCATTGGCAAATCACTGTCCTGGCGCCAACTGCATGTATACTAGATTAGCTGTACCCAGTGTATCTTTGATTCTCAGAATCAGATTAAAAATCTGGGTATAAGAGCCAGAGCGATAGTACAGTGGGTTAAGATGCTTGCCTTAGGCCCAGTATGCAGGTACCAGGACTGAATCTCCAGGCAGCATGGTGGCAGAGGACCTGGGCTGTCCCTCCCCAGTCCCCGCCTGCCCAGCAGACTGGCTGTCATGCCCACAATTTGCCTTCAGGCGCCGTCTTAGAGCACCAACAGCCCTGGCCCAGAGATACAGCAGCGAGTCCCGGATGACACCACAGTGCCGAAGACCTCTCCGGGCCCCATACCAAGCCAATTTCACGGGGGCACCCCAGATGGAGCAGGTGCAATTTCCCCACCTCCTCCAGATGGAATCCCGGTGACCAAGAGCTTCCACAAGCAAGCCCCTTCCTCTCCCCCAGCCCCATATGCAGGTTCCAGGACTAAATCTCCAGGCCACACGGACACAGAGGACCCGGGCTGTTCCTCCCTGGGTCCCTGCCCGCCCAAACAGACTGGCTGTCACACCCACAATTTACCTCCGAGTGCCATCTTAGTGCACCAACAAGCCCTGGCCCAGAGACTCTCAAGTGAATCCCAAAATGGATTAGTGCCATACAGAGATGTCTCTGGAACCCAACCATTTACAATCACACCCACGCGAGCTCTCTTGATATTCAAAATGAGCGATGGAAAATCAATTATCTGGTGTCTGCCCCTGGCAGGTAGGCTTGAATGGTGGTGCGAAATTTCGAGCAAAACATAATGCCCCAAATTAGAGAGAGAGTATTGGAGAAATTGTCTGCCATAGAGGCAGGGTGAGGACTGGGATGTGGGTGGTGGAAACTGGTGAAGGGGTGGGTGTTTCATCACCGTATGGCTGAATCTCAAACGTGAAAGCTTTGTAACTCTGTCTCATGGTGATACAATTAAAAACAAAAAAAAAAGATGCTTGCCTTGCACGTGGCAACCCAGGTTCAATCCCCAACACCTCATACGTCGCCCTAGCCCTGCCAGGAGTGATCCCTATAGGCAGAGCCAGGAATAATATAGGCCCTCCCGTTGATCGTCGATTTGCTCGAGCGGGCCCAGTAACGTCTCCATTGGAGACTTTGTTGTTACTGTGTCTGGCATATCGAATACTCTCGGTAGCTTGCCGGGCTCTCCGAGAGGGGCGGAGGAATCGAACTCGGGTCGGCCATGTTGGCCGCTTGTAAGGCGAACACCCTACCACTGTACTATTGCTCCATATAATATAAATATAAATATAAAATCTGAATAATATAAAATCTGAATATAGTGAAAAGAAAGTTGGCAGAGTCTCAAAGGCAATTCCAGCAAATCAAGAAAACCTCTGACCTTCTGGAGAACAAATCATACTTCACCAAGAGTTTATTCTAACGAGTTAGAATAATTTAATCTTGTTGATTAAATAAGGGTAAAGGGCTTAGAAAAAGAGGGGTTCATTATTCCAACAGATTTAAAAGTACAGAGAATAAAGAGGTAAAGAGATGTTCTGATTTGGCACATAGACAAATCTTCATGGAAAGATTTCATCCAAAAATACAAATATCCAGATTCTCGAAAAAAAAAATCGGAGACTCCTGACTTGACCACATTAGCTAGTGCCCATTCTCATTCCTAATTATGTTCATCACAATCTCCAATTATCAAGTCCACTTAAATCATCAACTGACTCCTTTATGCAATTTGCGTAGGTCTCCTAGTTTAAATAATTTGACAATCCAAGGTTATCTTCTAGAACCCACAGTAATTAGATGTGTTAAAGTAAATGAGACGACTGGATCCCTGGAGAAGTGTTTCAGAGTCTATAAAGCACTAAGAGACCATCAAAGGACCATAAAGTTAAGGGGGAAAAAAACTCCCCCATCATCAACAGTATTTCAGCTTCTGGTTTCAATTACAGTAGCAAATACCATGGGTGACTATGTCTGAGACTGCATTTGTTTTTACAGAGGATAAAGCTCAGTTGTTTCCAGAAAAAAAGATTCTCTATGCAAAGAGACTAGGGAGAATTCTCAGAAAGCTGGAAGTCCAGGCTCAGTTCCCAATACCGCATAGTTCCTTGGGCACCACTGGGGATGATCTTCAGTACTGAACTGACAATGGTCCCTGAACACAGCCAGCGTGGCATGTCCACAAAAAAAAAAAAAAAAAGCCAACTGCCACAAGCCAAGATGTTTATGGGGCTGGACAGAACAGTACAACAGGTAGGGGGCTTACCTTGCACACAGTCAACCTGAATTTGATCCCCAGCACCCTGTATGGTCCCCGAGTCCCACCAGGAATGATCCCTAAGCGCAGAGTCAGGAGTAGGCCTGAGCACTGCCAGGTCAGGCTGCGGATATGGACGGTCAGCACACCCTATGCCTCGCTGTGTCAAAGCCCTAAGTCTGATTCCCAGACTCGCCACCACACACACACAGCTCTAAGAAGTCAGGATGCTTAGAAGTGGATTGAAATTATGGCCATATAATTTCCACATGGCTATCCAGAGAGTTTATTATAACAGCTCCATCAGGTTTTCATCAATACAGAGTGCTTTCAACCAGAATTCAATCTGCTGGCCTGTGGCGAATGGACAATCCTATTACAACAAGGAGTGGCGCAAAGTGCTTGAGATTTCCTCCACTATCGAAAGGTTGAATGCTCCCAATTTGGTATGATTTGGGAGGCTATTTGGGGGATCTGGGGAGCGCTCAAAAGTCTGTCACTTAAATTCGTGGTCCAGTTTCCAAACCCCAAAAATATCCACTCTCAAACTGTACCAAATAGAATCCTTCTATTTTTGAATACTAGGGAAAATCTATATTAATAGTACAGGCACCAGTGAGATGAGAACCCAAGTTGGATCCGAGTTATGCCAGGCAAGGGCAAGGCCTTGATTTAGATCCCAGCATCACGACCCCGGATAATCACGGGGTGTGGGCCCTTATTAAAAATAAGTATGTAAGTATAGGCACCTTAGGAAGAGAAACAGTCATGATGGTTTGAGAGGCTGCAGGGTCAATCAAACCAGTCAATTAATTGACTGTCCCAAGTCTATTTCCTCAAGAATAAAACTGAGGCTAAAAAGAGAGCCCAGGGGTTAAGGTGCATGCCTTTCATGGGGTTCAATGCCAGCACAAGGTTCTCTACAGCACGAGGTAGTGCCTGGCACCACCGGGCACAGCAGCATGACACCATCAGGCTCTTGGTGTGAACCACCAGCCTGATTAGCCAAGAGTCACAAGGAGGAGCCTCCAAGCCTCCTGA